TATCCCCCCATAATCAACCTTGGCACTCACGAGCTCGGACCCAACTTTTTCAAACTCAAGGGGTGGTCCGCAGTCGAATTTCAAGGTCCTCTGTATGGCCTTCAATGCTCATGCCTGTGGATGGGGCCCCAACCGAATTGCCAGAAGTCTCAAATGCCTCTAAACTCGGTTGCAGCCTCCTCAATGTCAAACCCTTCTCTTCAAACTCTGGCGCCAAGCCCCCGTCAAGCCTAGGAGGACTTACTGTCGCCGCGACACTCTTCACTTCTCCTCCTTGTCCGCCTTGTCCTGTGTGTCCTTCCACTTCGCCTTGCCCTTGCCTTCACGATCTGTCCACGAGCCTTTGTCTTTTTGCTTTCCTCCTTTCTTGCTCTTGCCTTTTCGTTTTTCGTTCGACCAACCTCCTTTGGCGCACCGTACCATCCTTTGCCCCAACCTCGATGCCAAGCTTCGACGGTCTCCACCTTGAGGCTCGCTTTGGCATGCTTGCGAGCTTCTAAAAGTATTGCCGCCGATGTTGCCTGCTGGTCGTCTTGATTCGCGACCTCTAAATACCTCGCCTGGCTCCACGTGTTGTCCAGCAGCGCTTGGTGCGCTGCAAGGAAGTGGCCAGCGCAAAGGTCCGCTGCACGGGCTATGGACCCTGATCAAATCGTGTCGATCACCTGACTCACCAGATAGAGGTCGCGCATGGCCGCTCGATGCTGCGAGAACTGCGGGCGAACATGAAGGTTGAAGTACGTAGTAATCTTCACGCCCTCTGTTATTGCTCGGCTCCCATCCTTTGCAACTTCGACTATACCTCTTGCGCTCGCTGGACGACGAGAAGACGAAGGACAGCTCCAGGGCTTTCTTTTGACCTGCGCTTTAACGGTGCTTCGAAGCCCGCTTCTGACGAAGAATCCTCCTCTTCTGAATCGCCACTTGGGGGGGAGCTTGATCCGTCGGAGCTGATGATGGTGCCATTTACCAGGCGACGCTTCTTGTTTCCCTTCTTCTCTTTGCCTTTCTTTTCTTCTTCTTCTTCTTCTTTTTCCTTGAACTGCTCCGACCTCGACGATCTCCTGGTGGTCTTCCTCCTCGATCTCCTGACCCTGAGGTCTTTGCCACTTGGTTCAATCTCTGCTCTGTCTCCTCTCTCCTGCTTCTGGTCTCTCTCCCGCGTCCTGCGCAAATGGGGTGAGGTCCAGCCCATGCCGCCCAATAGCCACTGGTTGCATGGCGGCGGACTGGTGAGGGGACCAGGACTAAGGTGCGAGCCCCCTTTGGTCACCAGCCGCCACTCAACCTAGGGCCAAAGCACTTTTAGGCGCAGATTCAGTGACAGTCGTGCAGCCAGTAAGCTGGATGCACTGCTGGCACTGCTTGAGCCCATACGACCACGTGACAAGAGCAGAAGCTGGACCTTGAGCCAGATACCCTGCAACCTTTTTCAATGCCGACACCCCTTGAGGGGAATGGCACTTAAAAAGGGGTGAAGTCTCTTCAGGAGAGGACTCAGGGTTCCTGACACTTGGTGCATCGCACTTCACACCAGCGGCCAGCACCTAGGGGGACTAGAGTAGCCTTCTTCTCTTAGTAGTGTTCACCACTCTGGCCCGTTTAGAAAGTCGCTGTTCAAGAGCTACCTGATGTTCTTCGTTAGCTGCCTGATAGAGGCGTTTGCGCCAAAGCCGAACGACGGAGGTAGGGGATGTAGCACCTCGGCACCAGCTGGTATATGCCCTGTGAAAGCAGTTTGGGCAGCCAGCTGGGCAAGCAGCTGGTCACGCTTGTGCCTGAGAGGGTCACACCGCATCAGGGGCGGGTCAGAGGCCGCAAAGCCAAATTCCGCGCTTAGGTGATGGTGCAACTCTAGCAAGATTTCATCTGTAGGGCATGGGGCAATCCAGAACCCATCGTGTAACCAAATGGCTGATGTAAAACCAACTGCGGCTTGTAAGAAGGAGTAGGCAACCCACGCTACGTGTTGCTCTAAAACTTCGAAAAGTGAAATGGAGCGGAGCGGCTAGCCTGTATGCGTATCTGAGGACACCACGGAGGAGGATGCTCCATGACAAAACGACTAGCCGCGTGCACCTCATGTGCCCTGTGCGCTCCTCTGACCTCTGCTGAGCTTGTCGGAGTAGCTGCGTCGAGATGTCTCTCGAAGAAGAATCTCTTGTATCCACAACCTGACTCCTCTTTTTCAGACTGGCTCCACTCGTCAGGCTCCTCAACTCCTCCACAGAGCCGGAACCTCTGTCTCCGTCCGGCAAGCGTTCCTCGCCATCTTCCTCCTCTCGAATTCTCTTCAAATCCTTGATGGAGCGTCGAGCCGGGCCCCCAAGTCGATTTCGAACAATGTCCAACTTCCGCCTCAACTCTTCTGTGGACATCTGATGGGAAGTCCGAAAACGCACGGTCGGCGGGACCAGCGTTGAGCCGATCTTCGAAGGGGCCATCCTCCGACGGTTTGTCTCCTCCAGACACCCCTTTCCCCCGCGCTCTCAAAGCAGCAGCAGGGGCTGAACGCAGCGCACTGGGACGCGACGCGCGTTTGGGGGTTTTTAGAACAGCTTTGCGACCTTCTACAGCACCTTCTTTCGACAAAGGCTGACTTGAGGCACCTCCACGCCCTGTGTCCAAACCCGGATCCTCCACCTCTTCCTCTGACTCCTCCAAGTTGCTGCCAGCAGGTACTTCTCCTAGCCACTTGGATACCTGGCGGCGGTGTGAGGCAGTGAAGTAGGATGGATTGAAGCCCTCGCGGGTGTACACTCTCACACGGGTGGAGTGCAAATAACCTTCTTCGGCCTCGGTACACGGGGTACTGATGCAAAGATGGATGCAACCTTCTTTCCTGTTGAATATGGAAGATAACTCCTTGTTCAATGAAGGATCTGTACATCCGACGGAATGAGCGACCAAACCCATTCCCCCGTCTCCAGTCACAAACCTGCTCATTACAAGGAACCCTGCTGTAGCCTCTGAAGGAGGGTCCCAATCGGTGTGTTTGAGCTCGATCTCCACGCAATCTCCTCGACCAATGTTCAACAGCGGCCACCTCTCTCCGTCCTCCATCACAAACAACTCTCCTTCTGTCCATAGTGGAAAGATATTGCTCAGCGCGGACATGGTGGTGGGGGTGGGATGTCACTGAAGTCGTCCTTCTCCCTTGTCCGTTGAAGCTCACTAATCCCTCTTTTTCTGTGCAACCTCACGTTTGGATCTTTCCTCCTTTGAACCTGTTGATGTTTGGCTCCTCCTCTGCGGCCTCTGTGCCTCTCTCGCCTCTCACCTCTCTTCTCCTTTATTTTCTCTTTTGGGACCTTCTCTCGACCTTCTCTCTCGAACTCCTAGCTTCTCGACTAGGTCTTTCAGCAGCCTCTGATTCCTTCTTCACCTTCCAATTAGGTGGAGGGAATGGTGGCTCACGTGGAGGAGGTTTCTTACTGACCACAGGCTCCTGCAACTCAGACTTCTCCTCTTCAACCTCGTCCTCTTCTTCGCAATAGCTGTAAGTGTAGCTCTCTTCCGGATCCGGCTCACGATCAGCCTCAGAGCCGCGCACCTCCTCCTGAGGCCTCACGGGCTGCGCCTGCAACTTTGGGGGTAGCACCAGCACACTTGCCACGAGCCCCGCTACTTACACCCTCCTCGGACTTGACCGGTTCCACACACAGCGAAATCGACCGGAGGATCTTGATCTGCCTGGCGGCGTCAACCAGCAGATCGTTTGCGGCGCGTCGGAGGTCTGCACACCCCAGCGCTCACGGAGCTCCACCAAACTGTTCTCCTGAGCAGCGCTGCCCACACACCACGAATCGTTCAACAAACAAACGCTTTGCCGGCACTTGTTGCAAAGCGTCTTGGCCATAGGCGTGGAGGCTGGAGGCTGAGAGCCGAAAAGCGATCACATGTATTAATCGTCCTATAATTCTGAAAAATACCATATATATCCCCCATTTTATAAAGTTATGTTTGCAACGAATATAAGTTAATAATCGGCGAATATTTCCTTAATCAAATATATCGAAATTTATTTAGTTATCGAATATTCATCGAATATAGATATGTATCAAACAAATATTACAATGTATATATATATATTTACAATACTACTATGTTATATGTATTTTTTATATATCAATCTCACACCACCCTGGCCCTGGGGATCGCCGGCATCGTCCTTGCATTCGTATTCGAATGTAAGGACCTAGAAGTATCCTTAAGAAGCTTCTTACGCGCCACCTCAGGTAACGAATGCCTATCATGCCCCAACGAGTATATGACCCATCCTGTGTCCTCCTTTAGCTGACCATCTTAGAGTACCAAGTCGATGCCCTCATCCGTGAGATCCAACGACTAGCCATATGCCCTCAAAATATCCATAGCGATCATGCCTCCCCCCACCAATACCTCACGATTCCTAACGAGGGGAGGCCAAACCGTTCCGACCACCTTAGCCGAAATTCCGCAGCGATCTCTTTCTCGCATACAATTGCGGACGCAAAAACAATAAAATATACATTAATTATACATCAATTACATTATATATATATATATTTAATAAACTATAATATTATATATATAGTTAATATCACAATACTTTAGTTACATACATATATATAATATTTAATATATATTATATAAATATATATATATATTTAGAATTCACTATATATATCTTTTTTTTTTGACAATTTTAAATACATTAAGATAAGTATACTAAGTCGTATTGTTATTTAAATTGTTGATTATATATAAATATTAATATAGAACATATACAAAAGTATAGATTATGTCTTTCGAACCAATAGATTTCGTAATTGATGGAAAGGACATGTCAATTTAGCCAAATTGAATTTGGACCTCTTTTGGATACCAAAGTTGGCTTCTTTAGTTGTGGAACGTCACGGCACAAGGTTATCCAGATCAGAATACAGGATGTATTTCAAATGATTTGCAGGAGTACCATTCTTTCGGAGCCCTTGCCGTGAAGTTCCAATGCATTGGCCTCATTTAGAGGAATTAGATTCTTTGCTGAAGGATCTCGAGATCCGTGTGGCCATTCGAAGCTTTCTCCAGCGTCTCTTTGCTTGAAATCGGAGCAGGTCTGCACGCTCCTCAGGCTCCAGGTCATCATTCTCAGCCTTAGTCTTCATATTGCTCACTCAGCCTTTGCTTAGCAAAACCCAAGCTTAAGAAAAGATTGAAATCAATCTTAGGATATTAGATCCTTTCAGGCAGAGTTAAGTTCGAGCACCCCCGCCGTATATAAAACCGCAAGCCAGTAACATATAAAACCTCGTCGGAGCCCACCCCGCAAAGGCCCAAATCGATCTATGTGTTTGTTGTCATGCCCCTCACCACTGTATGCTTTGCCGTTTCGAGCATGCACATTTTGTGTAGAAATTTGTGATTTCCATATCCCTCAGGGCTACTCTGGGGAAAAATGACGAATTATATGGCAATGTTGCGCTGTCGTGTTGGAAGATGAAGTGGGGAGTAGTTAATGACATTCGTTTGGGTTCGCTACTAAGATGACGCCGCAGGGCAAAGCGGGTGGGGATGGGTGGGGGGTGGAAGACGTTCGTTCGAGAACGGACGGTGCTGGGATCGAATGTATCAGTGGTTGTAACAGGTTGTACCCACATAGTCGCTCTTGAACAGAAAAGAGACAATCCTAACATGAGTGTCAATAAAATAACGCTTCGTTGTCATTCCACGGAAAAACACCTTCCAAAAACAACCTAACAAAAACATGCAAAAGCACATGTCTTTTAGCAAATCATGTTATGCGCGGCTGTATGGGGGCGTGTTACCATGATTTTGGCGGAGGAATCGCTGATTGCATCAAAGTCGCGGTTTCTGTCTGGAAGCCTTGTGGAAATGCTTCGTGAATGGACTCTATGCACTCCACCACACTTCGGTGAGGGGGAAACCAAGCCTTCGAAGATTTCTTGGCATCCTCACGGCGTAGGAGGGCCGAAAAGATCTCATACCAGCCTGGATCGCGAACAGGCCAAACTGGATTGATTGGAAAAGAAAAGCCCTCCTCAATTCGCTCCATGAGGAATTTCTGCAAAGCACCTGGGTCATAGTAAGCCCATGGCTTACCAGGCAACCCATGCCATACCACCAGGTATTCTGCATCAAACTCTTGGGGAAAATAGAAGTTAAAACATTCAGCTCCATGTCGGACAGCTCCAGAGATGGCTGTCGCTTTGATCACTTCCTCAATCAACCTGTACGAAGTGGGATCCCCAAAGCCATACGGGGGAATGGACGGATGGAAACCCTCCTGGTTGGCCTTTTGCAGTACTTCCAACCAGCGGGAGTTCCAGGACTTCTTCCCCGGCTTGCTTAGAATCCCCTTGGCTTGCTGCAAGCTCCAAACCATCAAATCGAGCTGTTCATCCGGTAAGGCCTCGTAGCTCATTCCAATGCTACCGATGGTAAATGTATCAAAATCGGAGACCACTGGCTTTACGCTTCGGATCTGCTTACCTCGCGCTTCATATTCCTCTGCATAAGCCACCAGCAAGCCATGCGGATTCAGTTCGTTTGTCGCATCATACTGGTACAAAACCACTCTTGGAGAGGATTCTGATCGCAAGGCATGTAGGTTCATGTCCATGAAAGCAGGCTCTGATGCACGGCCCGTCTCCCAACCTGCACGGAACTGGATGTCAGGAGTATCGATGTAGACCTCACGCAAGAGGTCTTCAGACATCACCAAGCCGTAAACGCCTGGATATGAGTTGTCCTCATAGACCGGGGACATTTCTTTCCACGCTTCTGCACGTTGAAGTTCTTTCAGTGCGGCTTCTTGTGATTCCCGCGACTGATAATAAACGGTCACGGATGCCTCCTGCACTGCCACAGGATTTTGTTGGGGATATGACATGGGAGGCCCACAAGGTTTCCGAAGAAACCACAAGATTAAGGTAGCCGAACCAGCTCAACAAAAGTGAAGAAACATGAGGTGCATCCAAGTATCATCTTGAGGTGGCCCAATCTGTTCCTTGTGCTCATTCACACTGATTTGAAGGAAAGGAACAAATCCAGAGAGATAGTTCTTTTTGGCTGACTTCCCTTTCCTTGAGCGAAAACAGCACACAAAAACAAAATGCCGCTGGACTCATTTCATCTTCTTCCCATCCTGCACACATAAATATGTTCTACCGGTCACTTCACTTCCCTGACGATGGCTTGCCAAACTGCACACCACTTCTTGTAAAACTGGATCTGTTTCTTGACACATTTAACTTTGGGGAGGGCCCCAATTGCTTTCAGGGTAAACCTCAACAGCTTGCACTCTACTCATCTCTAAGCTTCACATTGAGCCCCTTTCCAACGGCCGTCTGATTCAGCATCTTTGCGAGCGCGTCTCCTGGGCTTCACTGAGCGCGTTGGCCGCGAAGCTACGCCGGCTACGCTTTCCAAAGCTGCACACAATGAGTCGAACAGGGAAGGCAGGCGAAACCAAAACATCATATATATATATATATAATATATTTTTAATATCCAATGAAATTCTCATGGTCGGTCCGGGCTCCACATTCTATAGCAATAAAATGTTGGAGTCTACCTTCTTTGCTCTATAGAGTGGATTACCCCAGCTAACAGGATGGACACCAGCTCACTATAGAATGGGGAGCCCAGACCGACCAAAACCAACCAAAATGACACCTTTGTACGCACCTCAAATAGACCCAACCATAATTTGGTTTACCCCACCCTCCTTCCAGACCTTCATTGGGTCAAGATAAACGCTCAAGCGCACACATTTCAAAAAAGAAACACTTTATAAGGGGTCATGTTTGCAAGGAAAATGAGGGCTTCATAAACAGCGCTTGAAACAGCGCTTGATCTGAGATTATAGGCAGATTGCCTTTCCATAGATGGATAGGAGTCCACCCAAAAAGGGCTGTCCATAAATTGAGTGCCCCACCACTTTTGGAGTCTCTTTAACAGTGTCATGTTGTTCGTAGAACCGTTTTATGCAGGAGCCTGGGGGGACAGATTTTATGGATGACATCTTTACAGGGATTTTTTTAAAGTTATATTATGATTATCCCATACTGTACTGATGGGACTCCGAAATACATCAAAAAAATCAGCCTGCCAACGGACGCACAAAGAACACCTGATAAACACCATATTCTTCTTATACTGCATACTCTTGTGGAGACGACCGTACCTTCTTCACCTATTTGTGAAATGGCCGTGGATCAGTTTGCCCCAGTCTACCGGCATGAAGCCGTCAGGACTGAATTACAATCCGGGGGTCATAGTTCAACATAGTTACACATCACACCCTCAATTGGAAGGGTTTTGCAGCACCAGGAGTCTTCATCATCAGATTCAGTCTTGCAAGGGTCACCTGTCTCCTAGTATGTATATGCAGAGGAACGAATCAAATGCGCTACATCCAAACACTCAAAATTATAACGCAACCAACTTACTCAACTAATTGAATGACGTAATCGTCCAGGCATAAACGACGTTCGTCAAGGCTCGACTAGTAGGGCGGTACACTGCAAACCACTGTGTCTCCCCCGGAGTTTGGGCAACGCCACCAGGGCCATGCTGGTCACCCGGGCTGTAGAAGTCAGCCAAGGCCTTGCGCGGATCACAGGCCTCGCAGGAAATACGGGGACAGGACAGGCCCGAAGTCAGTGATGTTCTCGTTATGTCTCAAGTCTCTGGGGATGGACTGAAGAGGCTTCAAGACGCCATCAGTCAACCAAAACAAATACATAGTGGGCGAGGCTTTCAACAGCAATCACCGAAGATGGGGCGAAATATCACAGCTTCTGATTGACTATCGTTACCGTGCGCGAAACAACCAAGGTACGTAATTTTCACGTTGCTTCAGCTCCAATTCCTCCAAGCGCTCAAAGGTGTCCCGGTCCAAACATAAGAGCTCCGTGTCCGTTACAGCCTCAGTGCTACTGCAACCTGACAAGGTGACCAAGACCTAGAGATGTGCAAAAGAAAATATCTGGAGTTACCAGTCTATTGGTGTCGAACTACAACGCTCGATGCCAGGGCACAGTCACTGAAGCTGCACGATCTGTCCGGTTGATGAAGGCCAACTCTCCAAAGCGTTCCCCTGACGAAAGGGGTGTTTGACACAAAGCAGGTCTCTTTGCAAACAAGCAATTGCCTGATACTTTGTATGAATATGCAAAGTTATATTCAATTCGAACAACCACTTTCATAATCAATCATAAAAAAAGAGCGAGAGAGAGAGAGAGAGAGAGTGAGTGCGAGCGAGCGAGCAACCTCCCCGGAAGGGTCGGAGGGACCACGGCCAGCGTGCATGTAGAAATGTGCATCAACAGTTCAAGAGCGCGCAACCTCCCGGATTGTAACAAGGAACACATGCAACCAACATGCAACCTCCCTTGGAACATGCAACCAACATGTTGATGTTCGCTCGCATTTGAAGAACTTTGTGTTCCAAGGGTTGTACGATGTGTAAAGAACACAGCCACCCGAGGTACGAGGGCAGTGGCTGCGAGGTATTGTAGGCCTTGCACCTAATTGAGTTTCTAGAAGAGGCAGCTATAAACAAATTGCCATACTGGAGGTGCGTCATTTGGGTCAATTTGTCAGTTTGGATGTTCTTAGTTTGGCAAGGGAAAGCCATGAGCTTGTTAAAATGTAAATCTATTTCAACAAGGGGCCCCAGTCAGGTTCGCAACTCAGGATCACATGATTGTGACTGGTCTTTGGAAAGGAGGCGCCTTTTGAATGGAAAGGATGTGTCAAATGTGAGCAGAACTTTGTCACTGCAGCTCAGCCAAGGCCTGGACTACTAAGGAATGAGTATCCATAGGAACTCATCCCATTCGCACTTGAGGCCACAAGGATTGGACGAAAGGATCAAAGCCACAAAAGTTAGGAAGGGAACATGCCAATAGACTGTGGCTTGCCATACTACATAAGCTGAAATGATGATCCACCAAGATTTTGACTAGCTTGGAACAGCAATTCTCCATAGTGGATGCATGAAAATAAGAACCCGCTAGGATTCAAACCAAAAATAACCAAAGGTTGGATTTGAACCCCTGATGGGGAAGAAATATGATCACCACCTAAATCTAGTTCTTCGGGTAAGGGGTCAAAACGCAGGTTCCATCCCGAACAGTTCCAACATTGTGGAATGACCCACCAGGTGTCAACAAATGGGTACGACTAGAATTTCAATTACAGTAAATTGAGCGCCTCTCAGATTCTCTCATGCCTTCCTCACCCCCAGCTCACCCCATGCCAAGTTTGGAAAAGTGAATGGTTTCACCCCAAGCTAGAGGAAAACTATATAATTGTAAATTGTTCATATGTTCAGCCACACCGGCCACATCAACATCAGGAAACATCCGACTGCGCCATCTGGTGCCTGGACCATATCTTCTCACCTCGTGCTCTTCCAACTCCGCCTTGTCTGAGCCGACCTGTGTCAAGCAGCAGCCACCGTGAGGTGATTCGGGCCTCTCTCTTACGGTGACACCGCACGGCGACCCCACGGCTTCGCACCTGGTCCACCCAGATTGTCACAGCACATTCACCACCTGGCAAAATCTCTCTTTATGTCTGATTTGTTGGGTATATCCTAATAGAGGCATTCTCTCAAAAATGGTGATAGCCTTTGACCAACTGTTACTGGTAACAGGACGCACCCTACCGATTTGTCTATTGATCACAAGGGTGCCAAGAGGACTCAGCACAATGTAGAGCTCCGCTGGCACGGTCTGCCCTTCGATTGGTTTCTGCCCACGACGCACGATTTTCTGGCCCTGGACGATGATCTTGGAGCCGCTCGAATATTTTCGCTTCTCCTTGGATAAATTCTCCACAACAGCTGCGGTCGGAGCCAAATGGCGACTTGGACACCTAGAGCATCTTAGAGCTAAGTTCTCCGTGCTCCACCGGCATCTGTGATTGCACACATTTTTGGTCTATGAGGTCAACAAGTGTAGGCCACCATAGGCTACCAATCAATATAGCTTGGGACAAGTAGCTACAATGTCGGTGATCCTGGCAATAAGCTCATCATCGAAGGTCTCAAACATGGGAACCTTAGTGAAACTCAAACAATGGCCAAATGGTCTGGACAGAAAGGACACACCTACGCAAAAATACTCGCAGGGGCTCCTGGTGAGTCGGCGACGGATGTCATGTGTGAGACGAGAACCCCAGGGCCATTCTCGAGAGAAGACGAGGTTGGGAACCCCGTCGGCCACCAATTTTGTTCAACCTGTTGGAAACTGGGAGGATGCGAGGTGCACAGGTGGCGACCTCGTCATTGCAAGTGGATGCAGTGATGCAGCAGCCAAATCATGAGGTTCCATGGTGCCTGCTGCCACAAAAACATTGACTAAGACCAATTCCCATCTTGTGACGTCTTGGATTTACACCGAGGCTGGAGCAGGGTCTGCCGAAACACGCCTTGGCGCTTTGTGAAACCGTGTGCAGCCGCTAGGCCATGCTTTTGCCACATCTTTTTGGTCCAAAGATGCTCTGGCAGGTACCAACTCCAAGACATATTTCTGAGCACCACCGGATCCCGTGATATCGGCTCCAAAATGAATGCCCGCCAGCACGGTCTTCGAGTGCTCGGCAAAGGCCAAGGGATCAATTTGTCCCGCCGTGTTCACGGGCTCCCCAGTCCCGGCTCCGAGGACTTCGCTGGGATACTTGAACCATCCAGGTTGCTGGGTAAAGTCGGTATCTGCATAGTTCCAGTAAGTCACCGCATTGATGCCTAGATCCACCGCCATAGCCATTTGATCTGCAGTCTTCTGAGGGCAATCCTCAAAGAACTCACTGAGCCATAAAGGTGCACCGTGGAGAGTGTCAGTGGCAAACTGTTTTGCGGCATCCACGGTCTGTTGAAATGATGCAGTGAGGGGAGGAACGTAATAGTGGAAAGAGAAAATCAGGCGATTCTGCTGAGCCAGCAAGTGGTATTGCTTCTTCGTGTGACTCGGAAAGCCTGCGAGAGAGAGGCACGAGAAGAAGCATTCTGAGGCTGGAGCTGCACTGCCAAAGTTGGCAATAGCTATAGGACACTTGATGGATGGATCCGCATTCAGGACCTCTAGCACATCCCCAAAGAAGCCGGACACATGCCGCCAAATGATAAAGGAATAGCATAGGTTCGGTAAGCCACCCAGCGGAGGCTCATTCAGAAGCTCGACAGCAACAACATTGTCATACTTGTCCCACAGACTGCAAAGGTACTTCACAAACTTCATGTAGGGATCGAAGAAAATCTCCTTATCTTGCTTGTTATGTGCTGAGCCATAAATGCGTTTGGCACTATTCTGGACCTGTGCCGTGATGTAAAGGGAGTGCCAGTGCTCATCACTGTTGTTGCGCCTCATGCTGGCATTGCCAACGTTCATGTGTGCCGGATCGCCGGCATTGCCACCGACGGAGTGGGCTCTCCAAGGATCAGCGTCACCATCGTACGATGTGATGCCAAGCTTAAAGCAGCTTACAAGACAGTTGGGAGCTCCACAAAATGGCTGCAATGGATGGCTAGAGTTGGTCAGGTAAGAGGTGCGACAACATTCTGGACAGCAGGTGCAGGAGGAGAAGCAGCAACAACAACAGCACTGCTCCAAGAAGCAACCAGCCCGGTCTTGGAAATCAGCAATGACCCACCATGGAACTCCGTCCCCTCCACTTGTGGTGGAAACCGAGTCCGTATGGACATCGCAGAAAACATAGACACCTTCCTCACGGAATGCTTGAATGCATCCCTCTAGCTTTGTCTTGAACGTCGCATCGATCTCCTTGGTGCCGGATGGCATGGCTGCGTCCATCATGGTCCCCAAACGGACACACGGAAGCACCTTGCGGGCAGTCCCATCTGCCGCTGGCGGAGGTTGATACGCCATAGATGTGGCTCCTTTGGCCAAAACTTTGGCGTCACTTCTGATCACCTCCAGCGGAGGAAAGAACGGATTCGACTTCATGACATAGTTTCCTCCCATCAAAACTACTTCTTGGCCATCCATCTTGAATGACTCACCACTGATGGTGACACGTCCAGGTCTTAAAGGCGTGTCTTCGGACATCGTGAAGGACCAGGATGCTAAGAGCGCAGGACACCTGAATACCTGCCTTTGAGCCAAAGCACCACAATGCCTCTCAGATCTTTCCGAAAGACTTGCTACATCTTACAAGTTTGGATGAGAACGCAACTGTCACAACAGCATACAATAAATAGCACAGGCATCTTGGCTTCAAGGAGCTCGACGCAGGTACTTCTCCCTCAAACTTCTCGCAGCCATGGCGGAGCGAGTGATAATATTCACGTACCTGGCATGGTAAGGTGAGGCCACTGGCCATTGGTGTGGAAAGCTGGGAACCTTGGAAGGTCAGGTCTCACAACTGCCAAACAAACAGGACCATGGTTGTTTTTTGGCTTTCGCAACCCGGACTCGAACACCGTACGAGCGCACGTTTCTCGCTCCAGCTGGCCGAGCACGCAGTCATCGAGAGCATCCACGGTCATTCGCCGGCAAAACCCCCAAAGCATGCTGTGCTCTCCGAAGAAGGTGCCGGGAGAAATCCTCAAACGACCCACCCGGTCACATCGGGTTTTGTGCCCCTCCTGTAAGGACAACCGCAAATAGATGTGGTCAACATAGATGAGACAAGCATGGGCTGGATCAAGCTGAATGCACGTTGACGTGGGAGTAAGGGAATGAGGTTTCCACTTAAGACCAGTGAGAGAGGTTGATTGTTGTTGAAGGTAATTGTCAGCCTTCCTGTCAAAACAAAACATGGACCTCATGTGAGCTCAGGTCTGCCGCACAAATTGCAACATTACGTCCCGCCGGAGGTAGAATTTACATTTATATAAGTATATAACAATATACAACATTTAGTTATTATCCGGCAGGCTCACGTTTCCAGTGCTTCCAAACATGTAATTAATTTGCATTCAGTGAGGAAGCTTCAATCTCTTACACAAGAATGCCGACTGCCAACCTTCATAGGCCAAGCAGCAACAAATTCAAGGTTGAGGATCGCCTGCGCATCGCGGAGATGTACCGAGAGGTTGAACAATGAAGTAAAGCTTATATAACACTTGCAGGGATCATGTTCCACTGCCAGTTCAACGAATCACCTTCATTCCAAGACTTCCTCTCCCTCAAAGACGGGAACCTGCAATCCCAGAAGCAAGCAAGAAACCATGGTTCTTCGGCCTGAGCAAGTTTGACTTGTCTTCGGCATCGGTCTCAGCGCAAGCACTTCCGCTGATCAAGACATACCCGCTCCTGTCGTGCTGATCAGACCGTGTCAAGGACGATGTCAGGACAAGCTCGATCGCTTGCGCATTGCAAAGCTTTTTGGCGCGGGGGGCTCCCAGTCAGGGCGGGGTGTCAGAGTCCATCGCTTTGTTGGAGCTCTGCCTCTCTCTCTCTCTGCATATAGAACTATATAGAATTATATAGATATGAATGTCTCACACATACTTGCCACTACATCAGCTAAACTGCATAAAAGGATCGTCCCACTCTCACCCTTGGTGTAGATCTTCTCGTCTGCCTTCACTCCTGAGGATCTGGGCTAGCAGCCGGCAGCCAACCCCAAACTACTGCACCCCTGCTTGCACCTCATGCTAGACATTGTGCCAGCGGAGGGGATTGAATTGCTAGGTTGGGAGCTTGACTTGTCTTGCGATGGCTTGCGCAAGTCAGCCAAGTTGCGCAGAATTTCCATCGCATCCACCAACTTGGATAAGTCCTTGTGGATGGAGAGACGTGATTTAATACACTCACCAAATACAGCTCTCGCATGAGTTGGCTCTTCAGAGCAGCAAGGGTAGCGATGCTCGGCTATGATGCGGTCATTCCAAGGGCAAAGATAGTACTTGTTGTGTTAAGTTTCCCTAAACATCTAGGAACCACATCATTATATAGTGCGAGCGCTTCTTCAAGGAAGCTCCCCCCGCCACCCCATCCCTCAGACGGGGGTGCTTCCTTGAAGAAGCGTGAGCTATGCTGTGTCCAGCTACTAGAAACTAACTAGTCGCCCTGGGCATACTCCCTTACTTAAAGTAGGCTACCTATATAAGGAGTGTCCACTCCCTCGCTTAATTAAGTATGCTCATGTATACACCTACTTCATTAAGGAAGGAGGCAGGGCCACGGAAAAAAGAATAACAAACAAACCGTGATGGGGCTGGATTTGGGACCCTCCTCAATAGTGGCACATCCACCGCCACAGGGCATACTATGATTTCTATGCTTCCCTTCTGTCGCGGCCTCTTGATGCTTTCGTAGAAGGGCATGCAGCAACAAGCACGGTTCCTTTTTCTCAAGGGATTGTCAAACATACAAAACAGCCAGGAAGATTGTGGAGGTTTCACCTGTTCAGCATCTTGAGGTGTTGAAGACTGTCCACTTCTGCATCCCAGTGGCTTCAGCGTCAATGCCTTGAAAAAGCGGGCATTTCTGCAGCGCTGAGCTCAAACTCTGCCGCTGCTCCTGGGTCTTGGGATGCACGGGCTGAGTCCAATCGGCATAGCCTCGGTGGAGCATCCAGGCACCAGCCGTGGCACCGGTGAGTGCGACATCGTCGCTCCATGTGTCGACGAAGGTGGGGAACATCCCAGAAATAGACACACATCCCAAAGCTTCATGTCGGTACAGGTGGAAAAGTAGGAACGTGAGCCAAGTAGAAAAGGAAGAAGGAAAAGAAGGAGAAGGAGCCGGTGCAGGTAAAGGAGAAGGAGCAGGAGGAGGAAAGAGAGAGAGAGAGAGAGAGAGAGAGAAAAAAACCGCAAAGAAACATACGTTCTACTTTTCTCACTTTGTGACTAAAAATGCATTGGGTTTTGTGGTTTGTCTTGTCGACTTGCAGAGTCCGTCCCAAGGTCATAAATCCATCCAACTCGCCCGGCGCGGTCCTGTGTGTGCGTGCGCGTGCCAACACAAACTGCCGGTGGCTTAGTCTGTCGGGTTCGTCCCACGCGCCAAGCTGCAAACATTGTAGGCGCCACTGGGTTCAGCTGAGACGCCTCCTCTCCTGGGTCTGGTTGCTTGGTGGTTTGCAAGTCACATGGTAGCTTGAGGGGTTCCAGTGACTAAACCATCTCCTCCTTCAACCCATCGCTACAATTTGGCGTTTAGTTGCGTGAGTCACGACATGTGCACCATGCGAGACAAGCCCAGGGTGAGCCGCGCCCTATGAAAAGTTGAACGTGGAGAAGTGGATTCGACTTGGGGATGCCTGACCTCGAATGACTGAAGCTGGGGTGTAATGAACAAAGCAAAACAGCTCCATGCGCAATGCCCACCCACTCCTGGTGAGCAACACCTTGCCTGCCGGTTCCGCCTGTAGCTCATCCTCGCTGACCTGGTCACGGGATCGATTGGCATCACCGAAGTCTTCACCCGTCAAAAGGCAGGCACGCCAGGGACCCCCCCTCTCTCTCTCTGTCTACTCTCCCTCTCCCGGGCTTAGCATGGCTTAGCCGTCGCATGCCGTCGCGCTGTCCCGAAGACGCCCACGTGGCGTATCAACTCATGACTCGGATCAGTCGACCATCTTACCGATCAGTCTTGGAACCCGACAAGAAGAGTGGGGTTCAGGGTTGCAATAAGGACTAAGTGGGACTTATCTGACTTTTTCAGACATTATTGTGACAAACTTAACCCCGTCAATCGACAGTACCACCTCTCAATCTTGCAAACCCTGCACCTTTCCGCGTCACCTTTTCAGGCCACTTGCATAAGAACTCGGACCGGGGCTGCATTGGGAACGAAACAAATCAGCATGCCAAAGCATAGGCCACTGATTCCTGACCCCAAACATCCCAAAAACACTCCAATTGATGAGCTTTCGATCATGCCCTTCGCCAACCCCGTGACTACTGCATGTATCTCAACATCGATATTGCCCTTTTCGAGCCGCAGTGCTTCGCACTCGTGGCGAGATGTGGCGAGTCTTGTCAGATTCCGCATGATTCTGCAGGTCCGCTGTCGCTGCCTCATCGGCAAGCGAACAAAGCTTTCAATAGATCTCATGAGAAGTAGGTCTGCAAAATCTTCTCGACACATTGCGTAGCTCCGTCGCTCTCGTCTAATTTTCGTGCCACCTCCTTAGCTTTGTCCCTCATCTCTGCAGACTCCAGCGCACGTCTCATAGCCTCAAGAACTGCATCATGTGAGGATGGCACATCCTTGAAGGGAATAGCTGGAGGTGCCACTCCAAGCATGGCCAATTGCTTAGCATTGGGAAACTGGTCCAGTATCACTGGAAGGCAAACACTTGGAACACCAGAACGTAGTGCTGCTGCACAGGTACCAGCCCCTGCATGATGCAGGATGACCTGGCACGCTGGGAAAAGCAGATCATGGGGGCATGATTTGACCACCAAGATCTCCTCCTCCTCCTCCGAGGTCTTGACATTTGACCACCCTGCGCACAGAACTGCTTTCACCTGCAGGGCGTTCACGATCTTTTCTGCGAGCTCCATCAGCTCGTTCGGTCGGGGTGCTGGCATGGAACCAAGGCCCAGGTAGATCAACTTTCCAGAAGATTTCCTCATGAAATCCTGCAACTTGGGATCTAAGGACTCTTTGGGTGTCCTGGGAACAAACAGGAAGTTCGGGAAGAAGAAGTGTGATGGCCAATCTGCAGGAACCTTCAGGGTGGGGATGACAACTTCATGAAAACCACCAATCACAAGTAGTTCCTTCTCTTCGATGATGCTGAAGAGGCCCCTCCGATGAGCGAATGAGGGAAACAGCTCCAGTCCTAGGTCGGCTCGGAAGGCATTGACTTCTGAAACTTGCCGCTGCCATAACGCCCAGTAAAGGAAATTGAAGGAGAGAAGGTTCAACCAACCAAACCAGTTCGACTCCATCACGAAAGGGTTGGGAAAGTCCCTTGTCGGGTAATAGGGCCCATAGAGCACTGGGATCCAAGGTACACCCAACTTCTCTGCAATACAATAGGTTTCAGTGTAGGCGAGCGGTCCGGACACAAGGAGGTGCACATCGCGTGTCGTTTCCACCCAGTCTTTCAACGTCTGGTCGTACCACGTCTTTTTGCGGCGCTCGGACTCCTGGAATGGTCCATGGAAAGGCCACAACTTTCAAGCAAAGCAAACCCAAAAAACCTGGCAAGTGATTCACACAATTTGGTGGACTGCAGCCTTGGCATGTACTTTTCATTGACAATATTGTTGGAACATGTTGGAACTTGCTGGGTGGCCTTCTACTAGCTCTTTTGTTAAAAGCTTTTGAGTGAGCGCGTCCAAAGAACATGGATTGTTGATTTGTTTCTCTCCGTTGCCTTTCGAAAGGAAGGCGTAGAAAGGCCAGATTTCGTGTTCCGTGGATGGGCCTTTGGTACATTCATGCCCGCTCCATCTCAACTTCCCTCAGCCTTCGCCTCTCCATTTCAAACATTTGCACCTTCCAGGGGCCTCAGCTCAAACAGTCCAATCAAGAATGCCAGCTCCTGGATCATCTTCATCAGCTTGCCCTTGGCTAACATCTCAGCGTGCTCCTCCTCAAAAACGATGCCGCATGAATCCCCAGCCACGGCGCGAAACTCCAAGCCGAACTCCTCGGCCAAGGCTCTTCCTCGCTCCTCGGAGATCAGAAGCACCTCCCAACCTAGGTTAGAGAAGCTGGAAAAGACCACAAACCTACACCAAATCTCGCAAGTTGCACAGCTCACAACCAGCCACCTCCTTATTATGAGACACTTTTGTTTCTGACCCACAACCTTTTATTCTGACCCCCAACCCTTTCTTTCTGACCTGTCTTTTTGACCCACAACCACAACCCCATATGTTTTATGCCACTGCTACTGCCATTGCTTCAAGGTGCCTTTGGCACGAAAGCCGAGGGCTAAGGCCACCAAAGGCTGCAAATCACCACGAGTACCCACATTGCAAAAGGCGCATTTCATCACGGACGTTGATTGCCACTATCTTGTGACACTTGGAGATGTGATGAGGCTGCAGTAGGATTGACTGGTAGGTCGAGGTCGCAAAGATTCGCAAAGTATGCCAACATACTCAATGCAAAGCTGGTCAAAATATATGTCAACATATGCAACCCTTCGAATCATGGGCACAATTGTGCTGCACAATGACCATTCTTGTCGACTGTATGAGTGGCTAATTCTAGTGCATGTCCTGCCCTGCGGATGTGTGGATCACTTGAAGACAACTCCTGCAGCATCGCCTCACCAAGTCGCCTCAAGCGATTTCCACCTCACCCCAACCAACCCGCCGGCGCTGCACCGCACCCTTCACGGCCTCTTCTTCCGCGAGCTCTTCCGCATCTTCGCTCTCACAGCGGACCCAGTCCCCGTCGGGCCCGTCGGGCCCGTCGGGACTCGGCCAGTTCGACGTCGACCTGCGGAACGGGAACGTGGCGGTGGTGGTTTCAACATGCGAAACGGGAAATGGGAACACAAACGGCATCTCGTCTCACTAGTCTAAAACAATATTTGTTTAATATGCTGGACTATAGCGTACTAATTATAGTATATAGAGGGCCGGGACTTGTTGGCTCTCCTCTTGGTCCAAGCTGCTTGCCAGTGTCAAGGTCTTCTGCTTGGCTACCTTGCTTGAAATTGAAGCACTCCGTGTTAGCATGGCGGAGAAGTTGACTAGTTTTTCATGGGCAGAAAAATATATGGCCAAGAGATGCCAAGAGTCCAGCAGTAGGGGGTATAGCAGTTGGTGGTCCAGCATGATCAAAGTGATATTGGATAGCAGGTCGCAGTGCACTGTCTTGCCCTCCAACCAGCTGTGAGAGCACCTGGAGACCGTGGCTACCCAGCATGACTGATTGGAAGTGAAGCTGAATGAATCAAAGGGGATTTGTTTCAAACTGGTGTTTCAGTCTGCATCTACGACATTTCACATTTCCTAGTGTCAAAGGTTTGGCGATCCTTTTACTCTCGGTCCCGCCCAGGGCGGTTCTCAATGCAAATAGGGTGATGGAAGCCAAACCTTGGTGACGTCCTCAACCCAACCGAAGCAGTTGCATTGGTTCATCTCTCCATTGGTCCACAACATCAGCGCTGCGCGGCCGACAACGTTGGTGAACAAGATAACCACCCACAAGACCAACAACACATGGCCTGATTTGACAACCTTAGCAATTAACCTCTAGCTGTTAATATCTATAAATATGTCCGTGACAGTTTTGAACGAATCCTGAACCTCCTGAGCTGCATCTGCAAACTTCAAGCTGCTCATGTTTTTCTGTCGCCTAAGTACATAAGTTGAAGTGTTGAAGGCATCTCCATCGAAGCTGCCTGCAAATTGGTTGATTGATTGGCAGGCCACCTCGAGCCGAAGGGCACGGCATATCATTCATGCATGAAAGTCATTGAACATCTCATTCCTGATGGGCACTGAAGAGAAGAAACAAGCTCGGTCGAAACAGGGTGTCGCACCTGCAGGAGATTCCAAAGCAAAGCAACAGCCATGATGAGGCCCTTCTTTCTGGTGGCTTCAGCACAGTCCCCACCTTTTAGCCTTTCTCAACGCGAGAGCAGTTCTTCCCGCTCACTGCCGATGATTGGCCTCACGATCCCCAACAGTGACCACTAAAAAAACGGAAACACTCAACCGGATGCGCTCTCAACCGACCAAAAAAGCGGTGTAACCCGACCTTGCTGAATCCACCTCTTCTTCATCACCTGGGAGAGAGGTAGCTGTCTGAAACACATGTACCCGTCAAGTTGGGATGGCGGGACCGTCTCCACCGGACGGAAGGTGACCTGACCGCCACTGCTGCAGGATGACGTCAAACATGTGGAAGCCAAACTGCCGAGTGCAACGGAAAAATCTGCAGCCTTCAAAGCCGTGCTCAAGGCATTCGTGAACTACTGTATCAGGGATCTATTGAGGGCCTGGGCAGCCTAAATGCGAGGGTTCTTCAAACGTTCGAGGTAGGAAGACGGAAGATGTCTGGCGAGTCTGTGTATTGGGCGCCACTAGTGGTGGCAGCCCATTTCAGGCAAGGTGCCAACAGAGTCATGCACAGAAGGTCGAAGCTTTATGATGGCTGCCATGGAATCCTCGCAGCGAGAAGAATGGAGGAAGCGAATTCCTGTTGCTTTTTCGAACGATCCACATGTAAAACAAGGTCTGACTGACATAGTCACAAACACAAGCATATTTGCATCGGTCTGATGGGACCCCTTTAGAGTTTCTCGCTGAAACCCTGGCTGTCCCTTCACAGAAGCGCACATCTCCTCATCTCCGTTGAACAAAGGTGAAGCGTGATTGGTTGAGACCTCTGACTGGCCCTGGTGACGAGCACAGCCCCCCGGCGTGTAGTTTGCTGGTCAGCAATACTGCAGCTCTAACGGTTAACGGGTATTGCACTGAGTGTGGCAACAAGTCGAAGCAAGTAGCGGCAAATATCAGTCTGGGCGTTCCCATGGTCTGCAAGTGGTACCTTCTCAACGTGTTACTGTGATTTTCCCTGGAGCCTCCTCATCATCAAAGTTGCCTGCATCGAGGGCTAGGATGACTGTTGCTCCAATCCTTCCGACTCATGTCCACCCTCCTAAAGCCTGAGAGAACACGGTCGCAGTCAGGCAAACGGTCAAGGCCGAGAGCTCATTGTTAATATTCCATGAGCACATGGTGTTGAATACCTTATACAGTTTGAGATGCTTAATATACACGGGACAACGAAGTTGGGATATGCTGGACACAAAGATATGTCCCACACTATGTCTCACTGGGCATGCAACTCTTGCAGCAATTATGTTGATGTCATTGCTGGAGTTTTGCCAAGCATGCATTGGTACCTGAAAGTGACATCATGACAAGCAGGGGGCCCCTACTTTCTGTGTTCCTCTGCGAGTGCACTGATATGATACCAAATCCTGTGAAATCATGGTGCACAGCATCATAATCATGATCCCTCCGTGGCGCCTCCCAATAAGCCTTGTTTCTCCTCCGGGGTACATGGATCCTCCTGAGAACAGCATTCCCAATCGCCATCGTTCGACCTCCGGTCGAGCCGGGTTCGACGTCCGAAAGAACAAACACTCTTCGACGTCTTTCAGGCTCCTTTTCGCTGCCATCCTGGCAAATGAGAGGTCAACTTTGACTGGACAAATGTGAGTGAACATGTGCATGACTGGAGACGAATGGAGACCATTTTGCAACACGTTTCGGTTCTGCCCTGCATGTCTTGGCGAAACGATCAACAAAAACTCAGGCTGTAGCCGCACTAGCACTCTTATTAGGCCGGTATGTAGTTCATGGGCCAGTGCTAAAAGGCAACTGTACTCCGAAATCCCTTAGTTCCTCTCGAGACGAACATGCCAGGAGCACGTCTGGACCCCTGCCAGGAGCGCAGCATCATTGGTCAACTAGCTAGACATTGCTGAAAGCGAGGGACAACAGAAGGGCCAAAAGTGATCAAACGGTTTCCCGCCGTGAGATTGTACAGGTGTAGCATCTTTCAAGGCCCGTCGATGGCATCTTATTTGGATTCATATTTGGACTTCTCATCCTGTTCTTCCTTCACCGTCCGGGAGCATCCGGTTCCAGCTTCTTCCACCATCCGAATCGACCGAGGACCGAGACCGGATCAAGATCCCACCGGCTCAGCCTGGCGAAAACCCACCTTTGGAGGGTCTCCTTGAACCTGCGGGAGGCGAACGGGGTGGTCAATGTATGTAATATTCCAGTCCCATGGAGTGTCTGGGAATTTGGGGAGTGTGTGGCAGCTTTAGACCATCAACACATGCCAAATGACAACGGCAATCACTCATCGCCACAGGCCCGACCTTATGAGGAATGGGTACAGACCAGCCGCCTGGCCAGCAGCAAAACCCTAGTAGCAAAACCCTAGTCAGTGTTGAATCTTGAACATCACGCTTCCACAAAACGTCACAAAACCAGCAGAAAATTGTCCGGTCAAGAACCTTTGCTTGTCCACCCTTGCCAATGAGTTCTTGCTGTCACTTGCCCACACTCGGTCCTCGTCCAAGGGAGCACGTCTGGCGGGCTCTTCAGGATCCACCTCTGATGACAATCGGACGGCCTCATCTTGAAGAGCAATGAATCCCTCTCGGTGCTTTCTAAAGTGAACCCAAGTGTTGGCATCTTGACTAACTGTCACCCTTGAAAGGGGCACTACCATACGCTATGCTGCCACACGTATTTTTCAATGACATTGCTCACCAGGTGAGCCTCACCTGATCTTGATTGTCTGTTCCGTCTACTATATATATATATATGTGTGTGTGTATGTGTGTGCGATATGACTTAAGTAATATGTGTATATATATATATTGTAATATAATATATACATATATGCTACTTATCTCCACTGTATCATTTTTCCTGCACTGCTTGACACATCTCGTTCCTTTTGCATCCCTTTCTCTTTGCCCACGTCTTTTCGCTCGTGGCCCACCGTCAGCAAGCCCCCGTCACAGGAGGACACGGCGCTGTATCGGAACCTCGGCCGGACCAACGTGGCCGGACACTCGCCTTGATACTCTCGCGGCTGACTGAGGCGGCCACCCCGCACGGAGGTCGGCCAGCCTGTAAGAGTCCGGTAAAGTGGAGAAAACTAGTAGCGTTCTTGTTCCTAGTAGTAAGAATGCTCCTAGTAGCGATGCCAGGAGACCCTAGTAGCGATGCCCTTGCTCCTAGAAGCTTCGTGTTCCTAGCAGTAAGGCCAGGAGCCCCTAGTAGCGTCCGTGCTCCTAGTAGCTTTGCTCCTAGTAGCGTCCTTGCTATATACTATTGTGTTGATGTTGGGGTGTTTTGAACTCACGCAACTTGATGACTGAGATGCGTTGATTCAGTTTGAACGGTCATGAATGGTCTCAGTGTTCACTGAGGTGCCAACGCTGATTCGACCTGGCCCCAATTCTGGCGGCAGAACCACACCTAATGTGCACTCTTTGCGTTGTGGCACAAAGTGGAGTGGAGTGCCACTGGAAAGTATCTTCCATATCTTCCATCTCCATGCCACACCCAAATCAACTGCACAAGTCGCAGACTGTGTCCCAAATCTCTAGACTGCCAAGCCCCTTGCCTTCTTTCACGTCAAACTGTAAGAATAAAGTTCAGTCTTCATTCTCATCTGACATCATCTTACCATTGGCTCAGCTTCTCACAGCCGAACTTCCCAGTATCACGCAAACAATGATCTTCGCGATTCGTCCCGACCTTTGCGCGAGTGGCAGTCATCGAAGAAAAACGACCGATTGGTGGGAAGAAGATGGAAGAAGCTCCGATGCTGGTTGGCCAGCGGCCCACAGTAACATGCTGAATTTGATCCCATACAACTTTGACCATGGAGGTCTGACAACCCTCAACAACAATACGACTGATGACACCTAGTGTTTCCTCGTGGGGGAAACGTAAAATGTTCGTCCTACCGGGGTGTAAACCAGACCGCTCCCGTATGTTCCCGGGACCCTACTAGGTGGAGGCCATCGCTATTGGGAGAGGTTATTGCTATTAGTAACAAGAAGCCAAATAGTTGTTCCCGCTACCTGAGAGTGAGCCTTTAGCATGCTTGGCGTGGCTGGAGTGGCGAATCGAACGACGTGACGAAGGGAGACCAAACATGTCATTATTCCCATTGCTACCGAGAATAGAGGTCGGCACACCCCATTTTAAAAACATATGTTATCTAAAATGACAGTCTATTTTAGAATATCTTAGAACTGCGTACAACCATCCATTCTTGTCAAAGTAATCCAACGCTAAAGCTATAATTTGGCTGAGCCAAGCCTTTGTCAGTGAAATCCATTTTATAAGACTGATTTATACATTCCTTATGCTAAATGAGAAATATAACATGAAAAAAGCGTGGTCAACCACCCACATTGGATTGTCGGTAGCAAGGGGGATTGTCGGTAGCAAGCTCGGACAACTCTACATCTCCGCTGCCATGTCCGGATCATGACAGTGAAGCAGTGAAGCAGTCAACAAAAAGTGCATGCTGCATAGTGATAACGTATAGTAGCGCGCGGCACGGAAGCTTGACGAAGTGAGTACATCTCCAATGAATTGACCTTCCACTTTGATCTGGAAGCCCATAGAATTTGATATAGTTTTTTGGGGAAGGTAAGCTCATGGCTTTCCGTTCAATGAACTAATAGTATATGATAGCATGGATCCAGGCGGACCCTTCCTGACCTATGGATGCCACACAAAGTTTGAGACGCCACCCACCAGGCGTCTTTTGTTCGATTGCTTTAGAGATGCCACCTGGCACCTGGATGAGCTCATGAGTCAGCTGCCTTCCCTGGAAGCTGTCCAAAAATGAGCAGACCTCCCTCGCGAATCGACCTTCACTGCAGACCCTCCCGGACCTAGAAAGCAAGGGGCAAATTGGCATTCCGCACCTTGGATGTTTTTTTCTTTAATCATGTACTTATTTTCCCACCTCGGCCTGTGTATATGCCTAGTGACTATACGATCCTTGATGCATCCGAGCAAGAAGTTGTGCAGCCTACAGCCACAATAATTGGAAGAAAGCTTGACGTTCAGCTCCAAATTGGCCTTCTGGACGGAAACAAAGGCTCTGGTCCTGAATGATCATCATTCTCTCCGTATATATATATACAGATTTTGAATTATTTAAACAACTTCTTGTGCTAGCTTGAGACATGCTTTTTGAATGTGTTGTTCATGTTTACTTCGTTTTTTGCTGGCAGATTAGTATAAAGTATAAGTACATAGTTATTTGAAGAGTATACTTCAGCTGGGTGTCATGTCCGGAGATGCGCGCAAAACCTTCAACACCTCTGCAAATTGCAGCCATTTTTGCCAGGCAAACTGCCGGAAGCAAAACAACCTAGACGTAAAACAAAAAAGAGTTGATTTGAAGAAAGCTCATTTTTGGAATGTTGTGACACATGAACCCAACATGAGCAAATATGATCCTACTTTATGTCTCTACATAAGGCCGTCAAATCCTCGTATGGGTATATAAGTCTGTGCTGTTGAGCCCCCATAAACTGCAATCAATGCTCAGTTGTCAGTGTAGCCAAAAGGGCAAAACTTGATTGACATGGGTTCTGCAGCAATGTCATTGGGCTTATTCAAGTGGCACAGCACATACGGATAATGCATGTCCTTCCGGCATACTCGCGGTTAATGGCAGTTTTGGTCCGAAAGCTTTCCTTGTATGAACCCCAAGGCCTGCGGCTTCCCACAGAGCGCCCATGAGTTTTGGTGAAATGTCTGGTAATCAAAATTAGCGCTCTCACCAGATCAAGAGCAACCGTGCCCCCAAGCATTATCATGGGTTGCTGTTTTTTGGCTTCCTTAAAACAAGTGGACTGTGGTGCCCTTTGCAGAACGAAAGGGCAAGTCCTGTCAGAATGAGGGCAGATGAGGGCAGCAAACGTGTCCGTCAGTATCCGAATAGATTGTTCACAAAACGTTGGAGGTAGGGGTGCTCAGAGGATCAAACTGTGCATCTTGTGCCCCTCTGTCAATGCATCGGGCCATGATTACGTGTAGTTATACAATGTATCGCCAACTCCTCAATTGCAGTCAGGGAAGTAGGTTGACTTCCTCACAACCTCATCCACCAAAACCGGGTGCCTTATAGGACTTTCCTACATGGACAGATGGAATTTCTTGAATAACGTTAGATTTAGGTTGAATCATGATGAACAAAGAAAGAACTTCAGACTTGTCATGCTTCTCCCTGATAGGTGTCAGAGAAAAGAGCCAGCCCGACTCTTCCATGCTGATAGCTTGGCCAACCACTAAAGAACCTGACTGACGTTTGGCATCATTCGAGCTTTAACATCTTATGGCACATTGGTGCAAAAATTGCGAACAACAAGGTTATACCCTTGCAAACCGATCTGAGCAGTTTGGGCCCAAAGGTGTCAAACCTCACTTCTTTCCACCAGCATCATCATCTTTGCCAGGGCTTCAGCTTGTTTCAGCAACTTAGATACAATCCAATGAGTGATTGATCAAAGTTTCCAAGGACCGATGGACAATGACCACTCCCAACGACTCCCAACCGCCATCGACTCCAAGTTCCTGGCCCCTCCGATTGGTTCGGAGCCTCATTTTGCAGCCCGTAGTCTGAGACCAACTTATCTGTGAGGTCATCCTGAGTGGAAAAGACTTTGGTGTGTTGTTGAGGAGTCCATTGATGCCTTTTGATTCGTAGGATGGTACACGAGTTACAGGAGCTTTACCTTCCTTTTTGGCCCCCGTGTGAGTTACCCGGGATAAGTTGTGCTACTAAGCATTTTGTAGTTATAAGTTATAACACAAAAAGTTGACCTCCAAATGAGGATGTAAGAACCGAATCTCTACAAAACACTCCGTACAAGGGCACTTGGGGACAGGGACACAATCTACAACATGGGGAGGTTGTAACAGGAGGATGGGTAAAGAAAAAACATAAACTTATTAAGAATAACCCAAAACAGTCCATGATACATTCTGTAGAGATGCAAGTTTTGCAAGTCAGAGCAAATTGCGGCAACAAAACATGACCACAGGATCAATACCATCTTATATAAATGGGAATGACCACAGCTGTGTCTACAGAATCACAAGTCTGCAAATTGGCGTATTGTAGGTGCACTCAGATTTCCCCTCTACAAAATGCCCAAACTCAAATGCAGGACAAGTTGTCCTATGAAAAAAGCCTTATTCCAGTGGTCAACCCACCCATTCTGTCGTGAAAACGTGCAGAATGATTGTGTTTTTTGGCGTTGCAACTAGATAGAGTTGCGTAAACCTTGACCACACAGGAGAGGCCAGCTCAAAGAGTCAGAGGAAACTTTGCTGGAGTCGTTGGCACGAGCAATTGCTCCGGAGCTAGGATTCAATAGCTTCTTGTTACTACTAGTAGCTTATTGTTTCTAATAGCTTCTTGTTACTACTAGTAAGGCACTTGTTACTAGAAGCGATGCACTTGTTACTAGTAGCTTATTGTTTCTAATCAAAGGCTGACTATGAGCTTTTACTTCTGCCACGAGAACACCGAGCTATTGACCTCCCATCTTTCAAACAGTGGTCGCTCCCAACAGCGTCACTCCAAACGAGCCTGTCTTGCCCCGTTGGGCACCGCGGGCCTGCGAAGAAAGAAGCACTTGATGTTCATTTCGATCTTGCTGTCGTCCCCCCATCTTTCCTTGCAAGACTGTTGCTGCCTGCACTGCCTGCTCCTTTTTAGCCGCGCCGCGCGGGAGTGGGGACCCGCTGTTTTCTCTTTCTTCGTCGCGAGGCTGCAGGAACCCGAACGAAAAAGAAGACACAACAATGACTTCTTCACAGGTTCCCAATGGTGCCAGGCAATCCTCTTGATCAACAATCTTCAACAACAAAGATACCTCACAGATCCTCACAGTCTTCCTGAAACACTTCATACACCTTCTGGGTACTGGAACTTCATGTAACTTCTTGTTCTTCCGATGCACTACCGGCTGCCGTCCGGGTACTCAGATCCTCCACGGCGTGGATTCTCCCCTGGCCAAGGTTCCGTCAGGGATGGCGATCATCGTCCCCATCAGGTGCAAGTGTCATATTAATATGGCTGTGGGGAGCTGGCACCAGACCGACCGGTTGACCTACCGACGTCAGATCAAGCTATCCAAATATTGACCCATCCCCATATGCCCCATTTGGAGCGCACCTTTTTGCAATGGCGTGGGCCTTAATCCGTGGTCGCATCAGGACACAGGACACTATAGGACTGACGTCCTGAGGTCGTTGCATTCGCCAATGTTTAATTAATCGAAAACTACCCTCTCGCACTCACCCCGCGCTGTGTACAGGAGAGTGCTCTTGTCCTCACCAAAGCATGCACGTGCCGCACAGTTGGCGGGTTCACACACTGCTCCTCGGTTGCCTCCTGGAAGGACAGAATGGGACTTGATTGCTGAGAGCTCGCTCGAAGCGGTTGTGCGAACAGTGGATTGCCACAAGTCAATCCACCAAGCGTCCAAATGTGTTTGGTTAAAAGCTAAATAAAGTTAACTTGCCTCAACAATGAGATCCTTTCGACCCTTGAATTAATGTGATCGCGATAGGTTGAGAAAGAAAAGGAAGTTGATAGCTCCCTCGCAAACATCTTCAATACATTGGACAGTGTGCACATGCCCACCAATAGCATATATATATATATATGTGTGCATAAAAACATTGTTACAGTATACATTGCACGCATTCGTATACATGTGTCAAAAAGAAACTTGACACTCAAACTCAACCCCGATCATGTTGGACAAGCTTAACAAAGGTACTAAGCATTTCTTGGTCAGCAGCCAGCATAGCTTGAATCACCTGGAATGGAATCTAAATAGATACTTCCAAGGAGTTCCACTCCGATTTCCTCCTGTGTCTGGGCATTCTACTCTGGCGACATGTGCACTCTCACAAGGAGTTTGACACCCACGTTGGAGACATCGCTTTTTCATTATTGGTGTGACTCGTGGGCCGTTCTCAGCGACCTCAAAATAAAAGCATTTGCTCTTGATCAGAGCTTCCCTCTAACCCCTACTTCTTCCCTCTAACCCCTATTCCCTTCCCGTCCTCGCAAAACGCATTTCACAGCTCCATGCAGGTACAGGTTATTCACCACCCACTGAGGTACCTCCCCTGAAGTTGCACCATTTTTCTGCAAGTTCAATAAAAAAGCTTCACTTTCGCGGTACTCGTTGGCGTTGTCAGCCATGGATATGCCAAAATAATTAGGCAGTGTCTCCTCGAAAGTCTTGCACCATTTCTCGGACACTTCTTCGAGAAAGGTGAAATTGTTAACAATTTTGGAACGTGGCAGGTCGTAGAGGCCATTCACATAACAAAACAAGTCATCCAATGGCAAATCGTGATCACGGACCACCAAAGTCCGACCGTCGAACAGCCGAAAGGTAAAAGGCGTTGATGTAGAACTGTTCAAAAATTTCACGTAGTAGGGCTCGTGCCTGCGCGGCCAGGATGAAACGGAACCAAACTCTTTTAAAAGTGACACCACCGAACAGGAGAACACATGGAAATACAACAAACAACATTCGTTTTGCGTACCCACTTGCAGGATGGGGGGTCCCTTAGATACCCTATACCGTGGATACCTTACCTGCAGGAATATTTTAAAATATTCCTTAGGGTTGGGGCTTTACAGCAACAAATATTCCAGGGATTTCCAGCAGGGTTCAACCGTCCTGGAATATATTTCGGTAACAAGCATGCACTTAGTGTTCCTGGGCACTTCAACGTCTAGCAAAAGTCTAAAACATATTCCTATATAATTCAATTAACTGTTCCAACAGGTAAGGGTATACCAATGGTATACCCTGGAATACTTAATTAAGGCACCCCCCATCATGCAGGTGAGACACGTCAGTAGAACATTCTTTACATGACCAGTGCGGCGGCTGATGGCGCACTGACGGACCCAATGATCCAATTCGCCGAAAACGCACCAACCATCTGCGTGGTATCGAGCTGACACATCCAGGATTGGATCTGCAAAGTCCTGTCGACAGGGAGTCGCGAGAACCACACAGAACCAGAACCGGTCGTTAAAAAATTTCATCGGTTCAACAAATACTTCTTAGTAGGCGACTTGGCGGAGACATCTTCATGGCTGTGCATGGCACACTTGATTTAACTGACAGTTGTAGATATGTTGGAGACGTCACTCTGCAACAATGCGACGCACAAACATCTTGACTAGACTAGTTCCGTCTGGTAACACCGTGCCCGTGGACGACACTGTGGCTAATCTTTGGACTTGCAAATCAACGGCCCGGGATCATCTGGGCTTTTGGGCATCATGTGAATCTGAATGCCAACTCGGCATCATGGGCACTGACCATTCTGACAATTCCCCGGAGGAAGGTCTGCGAGGAATTGGTCCAGTCAGCTGCGCAGCCACTCCTCGCAGGTGAGGTTGGCCCATGGCACACATATGCCTGTCATAGTCTCGTTGTGGCTGGCCTCGACCAAGTTATCATTGAGGCTCACACGAGTCTGCAGAAACTGGCAGCTGGCGGGGGCCTGTCGTGGCAGGCATGGTGCCACGTGTGCTTCTGGAGGCTGAATCCAGCAGCACACTTCAAGCCATTCTTAGAATGATCGGGTAAGATCGGGTGTCTCATGTTGTGTCCCCACTATGCGGACACAAACTGACTACCTCCTCATCCGTATAACGATGTGTTTAACGATCTGAATCTAAACGACCGATTCCAAGCAACAAACGACAATCGACAAAGGATGTCTTTCGTCTATCACTCTTACATGATATGCCATGATTTAAAACTCCCTCCAAAAAATGCACCGTGTCACGCCTCGTCGATCTCCGCAAGGCTCACAACAACCACCCAAAAACGAAGCACCACAACGGCACCAATGCTGCGGGGTTCCAACATGGCGAGGCACTTGAGGCACTGAGGCAGAAGAGATCAGAAGTCGACTCAGAAGCGATCATCGACTCAGTTAATCTTGCTTTCAGAAACTAATCAATCTGTCGTGCTCCTCCGTTTGGTCTAGCAGGCATGCTCCTCCACACCCTCCCCACTTGGAGATCACACGGCTCACCACTCAAACAAGCGGTAACATCCCAAAAAACAACACACCACCTGGACCCTCCAGTTCTGACCCTCGAGGCCTTGAACATGGGACATGACTCATGACCCTGTAATATTGAATATACATATACCAGGACACCCGGGCCAGGGGCTTCTATTGATAGACCCTTAGATGTTAAGGGGTGTCCATTAACCACCCCTTGTGGGTCGTAAAGCAATTGTACAAGGTACGAATAGGTCGAGTCCATGAACTCGAAAAATCTTCAACCTTCAAAGAGCGCAACGTCACGCACACGCGCCATTGGCATTTTTGGGCCTAACATCTCTAGAGGCCTGGGGTAAATGAACTCTATTTGAATGCTACCTTTTTGCACTGACCGCGCATGGTGTACAGGAGTGTATTCCTGTCTTCGCCCAAGCATGCTCGTTCTGCGCAGTTGGCGATGTCACACACTGCTCCCGTGTTCTCTCCTCTTCAGGGGCAGGGCTGTGAGAAACGCCGAACGCTTCGGGCGGTGTTCGAGCGGACATGGCGCTGCGAGGAAAGCCTTCACCTGCTCACCTGTCCAAGCGGAATCGGCACCGTCTCCTGCGGCCCCGTCCTCGCAGGAGACATTGTGCGGCTGCATGGAAGTGCAGGTTGTTCACCACCCACTGAGGTACATCCCCTTGAAGTGGAGCCAGCCTTCTGCAAAGCGACTAAGAATGATTCTGTGGCCAAAGTCTCGTTCAAAAGGGCGGGCCATGGATATTCCAAAGATATTAGGCACAATCTCTTCCAAGTGCTTGCACCACTTGTCCGAGACTTCTTCGAAGAAGGTGAAATTCTTGACAACTTCAGCCCGCGGTAGGTCGTACCAGTTGTTCACATAACAGTACAGGTCATCGCATGGGACAACGTGATCACGGACAACCAAAGTCCGACCGTCGAACAGCCGAAAGGTAAAAGGCGTTGATGTAGAACTGTTCAGGATCTGAGAGTAGTGGGTACCTTCGTCGACCAAGTTCTCACAAACAAACACGACACCTGATCGGGCCAGTGGAAACACAAAAGTTACCGCGGGGTAACATGAGCCCACTTGCAAGTGAGAAACGCCAAAGCAAAGTTGTTGACATTGCGCGTTCGGCGGGCAACTGCGCAATCTCTCGCCCAACTCGCCTCCGAACCAAACACGCACCAGCCATCTTGGTCATATCGAGCTGACACATCCATAATTGGATCCGCCAAATCCTGGAAAGGAGGCTCGAAGTGAGCTCCGCTCAAGCAAGCTCGCATGTTTTGAGCGAAAAGAAAGGAAGGACCAACAACATAAGTTGAATATATATATATATATATATGACGCGCGCTTGACAATGATGTCTCCCAAAACCTTATCGTACAATGATGTGGAGCTGCAAACCCTCTAGCTTGCATCTTTCTGTTCATCCATACAAGTCAAATGTCCAAAAGAATCTAGGAACCAAGTCATTAAGCCCCGGCCTTTCGGGCTAGCCTCCTAGCCTAAGAAGCTGGTTAAGCTTAGCAGCAACTTCTTAGCAGTTAG